TTTCTTATTTTACAAGATAATGACTTTGTTGATTTAATTAAAAATAAAAATAGCATATCTTATATTTCTTAATTTATTTATTTATTTTAATTATATACCTAAATTTTAATTCTAAATTTCAAATTCCCTTACAATTCTACCTTTATAAGTGAGTTGCAACTTTATTCTTAAAACCCTACCTTCTTGAATGGCACGCACTTGCCAAAGTTGTCGTCTTCATTTTGCTGGATTGTTGTCTAGGTTGTTGTTTTCATTTTGCAGGGTTTATTCTTAAACACATAATATGGGTGTCGACACCATGGATTAATAGTCTAGAATCAAACTTTTGATTTCCTATTTTATGTCGACACGTAATTCATAATTCAAGGTGTCAACACTATACATTCAACGTCCAATATTCAAGTTTCTTATTCTGTTTCAAATCCTACTTCTGTTTCAAATCTTACTTCTATTTCAATTAGGGATTCTAAAACCTTATAAATACCCATCCAAATTTAGAATTAAAAGAGCTTGGGAGGCTGGTGGCAGCTCTCTTTTGGGTATTCTTGGAGATCAAGATAAGGATTTAAGAATTTATTTATTATTTCTAAATCTTTTGAATTTTTACAATTGTAAAATAATATAAGAATTTGTTTATAATTTGTACTTTTTTTAATTATGTTTCTATTTATTTTGATATTAACGTATTTTATGTTTATGTTTTTTACTTAATATTAAATTTATTTACATTATCTCATATATTTAATAGTGTTAAAAATCGATTAATCTGACCGAACCGCACCGATCCGATTTAAATTGGATTGGTTTGGTTATCATATAATAATGGATTGGATTGGTTTAAAAATTTTACTAAACGATTAAATTGGATTGGATTAAAAAATGTTAAAATCTGAACCAAACCACACCACGAACACCCCTAGTTTTAAGTCTTTTGACCACATTTTTTGGGGCATTCTTGTAAGCTAAATTAGAGGTGGTATGAATTTATCAACAATAAAAGATTAATAAAGTGGACATTTTTTAAATTGAGTTTTGTTTTTTTTTTTTTTTTGAATTTTTTTTTTTGTTTTGATATGTTTTCTTGGTTCATAAATATAAGTTTAAATTTTACAAAAAATATTATTTTTCAAATCAAATTACATATTAAAAATATAATTTGATTATTAAAATTATTAAAATGTCCTTCATGAAACTTTTTGTTATGTTTATTCATTAAGGGTAATATTGTAATTTTAATATTAAAACTATACTTTTAATATACCATCTATATTTAAATACATGAATCTCTAGATTTTAATATTTTTATAATGAACTAGTTTAC